CGACTTTTAAAGTCAAAGCTAAATTCATATCTATATATTTATTTAATTTTTATAATTTAAATCATACCAAACCTCATTGCAGGTTTATTGTTTATTTATTATTACTGTTAATAATGTGCAGCAAAATATGGATAGTGCATCTAATTAATGTTCATATTTTGATTTAAAATGGAAATTCATCTACAATGACAACTTGACAGTTTCCTTTATGTTAGGGCAAGTTCATTTCTTTTTATTTGTTTACTTATTTATTATTAAGAAAAAATTCATATTTCTATAGCCCTGAGATATAGCAGATAATCCTGCAATATATAATTAGGTATATTAGTTTTAATTTGTGGATTCTCTTTCCCTACAGAACAATTTAAGCAAACAGTAGCTCATCTTACCTCACTGTCCCATAAATGTTATAATGCAAGTGCAGTTTTATGCATTATATTCTGTGTGGCTGCCCTGAAGAGTAACGCGGTCTTAAGCTTTTGCCCACAGTCATTTGGCCTCTTTATCCGATTGGACTGATTTACTTGGATTGGAATTTGGAGAGTCTCAAATGAAAAATAAGAATTTAATCCACTGGATTTGAACAGATGTGTGTGGATAAGCCTCCTGTTACCTTAAATCACCAAATATCACGTGCTGGTCCATATACATTTTGAATTCATAATTCACAAATGCCTTAAAATCACATTGACTAGCTTGAGATCCACTGCAGTAGCACATGGACTCAGACAGCATCCCTCTGTGTTACGGCATCCTGGCATGCGCAGCTTCCGCTCTCGTCCAATAGCAGGCTGGTGCCGCGCCGGCCGTGTGTCTGTCTCCTCGCTGGGCTGCGGGACGACGCGGTGGTTCTGATCCAGGTCTGTGGGTTTGACGAAGGATTAAACGCATTCTTCCGGTAAGTTTGCAGCTGATATGGTGATATGTAAAGCTTTGGGGGTTTCTGGTGAGAATATGATCTGTCTATGACCTTCAGGAGTTTATTCTGCATGCTAAAGTCCGGATGAAGGTGTTCCGCGCGGTTTGGGAATACCGCAATGCAGAAGAACAGGGTGGATGAGTCCAGACATAGCAGATGTCATTCCTTTATATATATAAAAAAAAATAATACATAAAATAAATAAACAACATACATATTAGAATTAGAATACATATTGCACGTATTATTTACAAAATAAAAATAAAATTAATAAGTGTGAATTCATACAAATTACATTAGGCTATACAAGGTTTTTTTTTTAACATATCAATAAATTTGCTAATTGTTATGCTGAAACAAGCTGCGATGCGAGTTAATTATATGATATTTACTTGCCTAAAGTTTAAACGGGACAAGTTAGTCCTCGGTTTCCTGGCAACAAAGAGGATAGAGACTGTAATGCGAGTGTTGTGTCGGAGGGCTGCGCTAAAGAGTTATCATCAATGACGCAGTTATTAGACTTATTAGTGCTTGAAAATACACTTTATATGTTATGATCACACCAAGCTCTAATTATAATAGCCTATTTAAAAAATGAGGAAAAAGGACAGTGAAATCCAGCTATGATTTTTGTTGCTCTGTTAATCCATGTATTTCAGTGTGTAAGATCATTTAGATCAGATGCTAGATTTTTACTGCCACGCCCTTATATGAGTTTACAGTAGGCATGCAGTAACCTAAATCCGAATGTGCAGGACAAGAGCAGACAGCAGATCAGAGGATGCAATGAGATTTTAAGAGATTGGTGAAAATACCATGCTTTCAAGTAGACCACATGCATAACTTGCAGCAAATACAATTGTTTAGAGAGATGGATGGTCAAACATGTTCTTGAGATGCATGATGAATGGATACATATTAGGTTGCAGATGTTCACCCTCTGTCCTTGCTCACCCTGTATGAAAGTGCAGTGGCAGCAAATAAGAGATGCTGAATGTGTTAGCAAGGATTGCATTTATAAAGCAACTCTGTGAGTATGTGTGCATGCGTTTATGCTAAGATTTACCTTTCCTTTATGTGTTACATTTGCAGTAATGGCTGAACTTGTGGGTATAAACATGTTTGTGTACATATGTGCATAGTCTGTGTGAGTGAGAGAGAAGGTGTGGATTGCTGATTCACTTTTAACATTGGTAGGATGTTAAATTGTTAATGTTTCCATTTCGGACACAATCTGCTACAGTCTGCACATCAGAGTGAGACAATGCAGCTTTCAGTAGCTTCAACTCTGCAGCTTTACAGCATTTCACCCACACACACGTTCTTTCACTTTTTCTCTTTCTCTGTGTGTGTGTGTGTGTGTGTGTGTGTGTGTGTGTGTTTCTTTAACTACATTTTATGTACAAAATTATCCCAAGTATAGCTGAATTCCTTTTTTTTCCAGGAGCGTCTTCAAGGGTAGAAAATGATATTAAATGGAGTAGATAAAGTTTTTTTTTAACTCTAAACAGTTAGGAAACTCCCACATACCAAATTTGGGTGCTGCCAATGGTCCCCATAATAAACATACAAAATTATGTTTAAAGGAATAGTTCATCCCAAAATGAAAATTTGATGAAAATGTACTCTCCCTCAGGCCATCCAAGATGTAGATGAGTTTGTTTATTAATTGAAACAGATTTGGAGAAATAAAGCATTATATTACAGGTGCATCTCAATAAATTAGAATGTCGTGGAAAAGTTCATTTATTTCAGTAATTCAACTCAAATTGTGAAACTCGTGTATTAAATAAATTCAATGCACACAGACTGAAGTAGTTTAAGTCTTTGGTTCTTTTAATTGTGATGATTTTGGCTCACATTAAACAAAAACCCATCAATTCACTATCGCAACAAATTAGAATATGGTGACATGCCAATCAGCTAATCAACTCAAAACACCTGCAAAGGTTTCCTGAGCCTTC